ATGCACCAAAACATCAAATTTACCTTGATCCCGGCATGGCTACACAAGTAAAAATCAAACTCCGTAGGGTGGCAAATCTTGGTATCAACAACAGTACCTATATTGAAAAAGTAATAGCAGTCATACTATTAATTATTCATCAATGTATTCACACATAAAAATATGATCAAATGCTTGTATCAGATGCTTGAAGAACAAAATTTTGAAACCTGGCAGAATGTTCCCACTCTTGTCCGTCATATTACGATCATTATGATTAACAGGGAACAGACGTGTATGGTGTCTCTTCTGCACTACCACAAAGGTAACTCGTGGCAGATAACCTTCTTCCAAGGATGTGCATGCCTAAAGAAAGGTGCATGTAAGAAAGGCTGAATTTCAGGACTTATGATGTTAACCCTTACCATCTCAAATGTATTTCATTAACATACATCCAAATTAATATACGAAGTAAACTTGTGGCTTCATCAGTCATATATCAAATTTCTCTAATTTGACAAAAATCAAGAAACAATAAAGTGAGAAGATCTAAGAAACAGCATCTACAAAATGAAAATACAGAAAGCACTAAGCCTTGGGACAGGATTTTATACCTTGCGGATTGCGTCCATTTCTTCCAATAAAACCTGATTGAATTGACCTTCGCTCACTCCATCTCTGTCATTTTACAGTGAAATTGATTGGCTAATGTGGAAAAAGGAGAGCAAAATCACCAGCATAATCAAATGGAAGAAAACAGACCTATAAAAGATAATTCTACCAGGCTTAATCCCTGTAGATCTTCGAAACGCAATCAGTAACTCCCTGAAAAGAAAATTTTGTAAGACAACAAGAGCTTTGGTATGGAAAGCACAAGCATGGAACAAAATTAAGAACTTCTACCTTATCATTCCGCCATGAACAATCCCTCTTTCAGGATCTCCGTGCTTTTGATACAAGTCTTCAATGATCTCTTTCCTGTGGGGCTGTGCAGAAACAAGACACCTATATTGACTCACTTCAGGCCAATCCATTGAAGCGACTACCTGAAAAAGAGAACTTATCATTTTAGATGAGTGTGGAAGAGCCTTTTAGCTTTCAATAGCTAAGCAATTTAAAGTTAGAGATGGGAAGTAATACAACATACAGCAGCTATAGATGGACTAGAATCTTCTCCTGGTTGTGGATGTGTCACATCAGCACCAAAGACAATTGTGGGGATATCAGTGAGGAAAGGAATTCTTCTATGAACTGCCTGCTCCAGGACAGAGTTTCTTCCACCCACCTGAAGTAAAAGTGTACACCAAACATTGGTATAAGACGACAGAATCTCTCTTGAAAACTCTTAAACAGCTTTGCAATACTTGGCATGACAAACCTTGACATTTATCTTTAGAGCAAGGTTTTCAAGATACTGTTTGTTGGGTCTAGATAAATTCCTAGGCTGACAGCATTGGGACACAATTCCCAAATCTGTTTCACAGACTCGCTTAATCGTCCCTGAAAAACAAAGATGTCATCCAAGATAAATAATCATTCAACTTTCAACTACATTACTTCAATATTGTGGTGCTATGTCTTTCCTTCTGTTTGTCAATTAATCAACAATCTGATATAACTCACCATAAGATCCAGAAACTTCCGGAAGAATAATTATTAACAGCTGAAGATGTTTCAATTGATGCTCCATAGTAGCTAGCTTTTGAGTAGACGCTGTATGGATATCAACCAGAGTCTTCTCAATCTGCCCAGCATGAGCTGAGCGAATGGGCACCAAAGGCTGAGGATTGAACACCTACAACCAAGCACAAC